TTCTACCCCCCCCCCCCGGACTTATCGGGTCCCCCGCGCGTGCTGTAAATCACATATGATTCTGACCACATGTCCATCCTAAATATGAATTCATACCATCCCAGCCAAGCCGGTATCCCCCCCCCTGCGGTTCCCTGTCAAATAACACTATGCGGGGACATTTTTCTTTCTAACATAACACTTTTTCCACGAATCCCTTGCAAAAAATGGGACGAAGTGCACACGCGCGCGTCGTCGCGCGCGCATGCCGAAATCCTTCAAAAACCTTCGGTGCCGGAAGGATTTCGCAATCGAGTTTCCGAAAAACATACAAAAACACATGGTTTCGCAACACTGATTTGCTAAAAAAATTCCGCGCGAGCTCTTGCGAAATCTTAAGAAAACCATAGGTTTTTCAAGATTTTCACAAAATGCTACCAAACGGGCGTCGCGCGCGCGCATGTCGAAATCTGTCGAACGCCCTTGCGCGTGTGCCGTCGCGAGAATCCTCTGCAAAAAACGGGACGAAGTGCAGACGCGCGCGTCGTCGCGGACGTATGCCGAAAACCTTCAAAACCCATCGGTTTCGGAAGGATTTCAAAATCGTGCGTCCAAAAAACCTACAAGAACCCAAGGTTTCGCAACACGGATTTTCAACAAAAGCGTGCGCGCGCGCTCTTGCGTCGTCGTCGTCGTCGTCGTCGCCGTCCTCCCTCCTCCCGCGTCGTCGTCGTCGTCGCCTACGTCGTCCTCTGTCTTTTCTCCTGTTTGTCGTCGTCGTCCTCTTTGGCGTCGTGGTCGTTTCCATCGTCGTTGTCGCCGTGGTCGTCCTTCCTCCTCCTCCCACGTCGTCGTCGTCGTCCGTCGTCGGCGTCTCATCGTCGTCCCTCCTATGTCGTCGCCGTCGTCGTCGTCGTTGTCGTCGTCGTCTTCCCTCCTCCCTCGTCGTTGTCGTCGTCGGCGTCGCCGTCCTTCCTCCTTCGTCGTCGTTCGCGTCGTCACCGTCCTCCCTCCTCCTTCGACGTTGTCGTCGTTGTCGCCGTCGTCGTCCTTCCTCCTTCCTCGTCGTCGCCTTCGTTGGCGTCGTCGTCGTCGTCTTCGTCGTAGTCGGCGTCGGCGTCGTTGTCGTCGTCGAAGTCGTCGGAGACGTCGTCGGTGTCGTCCTAGTCGTTGTCGTCGGTGTCGTTGTAGTCGGTCTTCACAGGTTTTGCAAACCAAGTTGCGGGTGGGTGGGTGGGATGTTTGCGCGAGCAGTGGAGATTACGACTTCAAGTTCCGCAGAGTGGGTTGCACCACATAGATTGCACCACACAGCTTACACCACATAGACTGCACCACACAGCTTCAACCGCATATACTGCACGACATAGATTGCACAACATGGATTGCTTAACATCGCCTGCACAGCATAGCTCACTCCGCACATGTTGCATCACATGGGTTGCACCACATCGATTTCACCAAATAGTATGCTAGAACACACTGTTTAGGGTCCGCGCTGGCTAACACATGATTTAATATCCGCCACCGTGCACCCCAGTCACGAGGTGGAGTGTCCCCAGGTCCCTTGCTGGCCGCCTTGCTCAGATCCCCGGGCCTCAGTCCTGCACCCCGAAGATTCTTTAAGGGGCCCGGGTCTCAAAGTGCCGGACTTTCTCGGGCGTGGCGAGCGTTGTCACGCGACCTGTTCGAGGCTTCGAATCGCCGAGCGAGCGTTCCAAGACTCCCAAGCTGGCCCTGAGAAGGCCTAAGGAAGCCTTCCAGACACCCAAGAGAGCTCCGAGAGCCTTTCCAAGAGGGCCACGAGAGGCCAAATTCAATGATACTCCATGGGTACTTCAATGTCTTTGGGGTTATCATGGCTTATCGACTCTTCGAGCTTCCGACGCTCCAAGACGATCCAAGAGGACCCCTAAACCACCCCAAGACGGCACAAGAGGTCCCCAAGGGGGCCGCAAGAGGGCCGCAAGACGGCCCAAGAGGCGCCCAAGATGACCTAAGAGAGCCCCAAGACGGCCCCAAGAGGGGCCCAAGAATGGGAGCCCCAATCAGAAACTCGAGCCTTCCGTCCCAAGATGCCCGCAGGAGGCCCCAAGAGGCACCCAAGAGGCCCCAAGAGGCCACCAGGAGGCCCCCAAGACGCCCCAAGAGGCCCTGAAAATGCCCCCAAGATGTATCAAAACTACCTCCACGAGGCCCCCAAGAGGCCCCCAGCGACATCCCAACGAACATGATGACCTAAGAGAGCCCCAAGACGGCCCCAAGAGGGGCCCAAGAATGGGAGCCCCAATCAGAAACTCGAGCCTTCCGTCCCAAGATGCCCGCAGGAGGCCCCAAGAGGCACCCAAGAGGCCCCAAGAGGCCACCAGGAGGCCCCCAAGACCCCCCAAGAGGCACTGAAAATGCCCCCAAGATGTATCAAAACTACCTCCACGAGGCCCCCAAGAGGCCCCCAGCGACATCCCAAGATGCCCGACTCTTCCGTCCCAAGACGCAGCCCCAAGAGGGAGGCCCAAGAATGGGAGCGATGAACCCTAAGAGAGCCCCAAGACGGCCCCAAGAGGGGCCCAAGAATGGGAGCCCCAATCAGAAACTCGAGCCTTCCGTCCCAAGATGCCCGCAGGAGGCCCCAAGAGGCCCCCAAGAGGCCCCAAGAGGCCACCAGGAGGCCCCCAAGACGCCCCAAGAGGCCCTGAAAATGCCCCCAAGATGTATCAAAACTACCTCCACGAGGCCCCCAAGAGGCCCCCAGCGACATCCCAACGAACATCCTAGAGGCCTATGACCCACAACCCAGGCACAGTGGCGGGATGGGCCGAAGGCCATTCGATCCGCCGCCCCCTGTTGTATTGCCACAGGGGTGCCTGGCGTGCTAGACCCTACTGGTTTGGTTTTGATTCTTGTTCCACAAGAAGTCCTCCTGGGGCTTCGGCCCGTCCGGCCGACCACCCAAAGAGACCGCAAGGCGCCGAATTCTCCGAACTATTCTCCCAGGATGGCTCAACACGGCTTTCAAGACCGCCAAGGTGGCCCAAGATGGCCTCCAAGATGGCTTCCAAGACGGCTAAGATGGCCTCGGGATTCTTCCAAGACGGCCCAAGATGCACCCAAGACGGTCCAAGATGGCCTCAAGATGACGGCAGGCGGCCCAAGAGGCCCACAAGAGGCGGCCCAAGAGGCCCACAAGAGGCTCCCAAGAGAGCCTCCAGGAAGGTCCGAAGAGGCCAAAATCATTGCTTGTCCTACGGTGTTTGAAGGATGTTCGGAGTTACTCCTTTTCGGCCTTCCGACGGCCCGAGACGGCCCAAGAGCCCCCAACGATCGCCCCAAGATCGCACAAGAGGCCTCCAAGATGGCCCCAGAACGGCCCAAGAGGCCCCCAAGACGCCCCCACGAGGGCCCCAAGACAGCCCAAGAGGCCTCCACGACACCCAAGATGGCCTCCAAGACGGCCCTGGAGCACCCCAAGAGGGCCCCAAGTCGGCCCGGGGAAGCGCCCAAGACGGCTGCCGACGGCGTCACACGGGCCTGCCGCAGAAGCCTCCGAGAAGCCCCCAACGGCCCCCAAAGAGGCTCCCAAAGGCCCACAAGATGCCTCCAAGAGGCCCCAGGAAGCTCCCAGGAGGCCCCAAGAGTGCCTCCAGAGGCTCCCAAGATACCTCCTCCTCCTCCTCCTCCTCCTCCGCCTCCGTCTCCTCCTCCTCCTCTTCCTCCTCCTCCTCCTCCTCCTCCTCCTCCTCCTACTCCTACTCCTCCTGATCTTTTCCGCCATCCTCCCCCAAATCTTCCCCGAAGGGTTTCCACAACAGCTGGGGGAACACATGGTCCGATAGCTTGGCAGAGCTCTTGCCACAACGCTCAGCCACATGGGCGATTCTAAAGGCAGGGGGCGGCGGTGATTCGCCGTAGGCGTCTTCGATTATACATTACATGCTATAGAGAGGATAGAACACTGCGGGGACTTATATGTTCGCCAGCGTGGACCCCAAGCTGTAGGTTCTTGCGCCCTGGCTGTGTAAGATATGCGATACAAAATATGTACTGTAAAACCATGCGGCCTAAGCTACGTGGTACAAGCTGCGTGGTGCAAGCTATGCGGCGCAAGCCACGTGATGCAAGCTAAGGCGGTGCAAGCTTTGCGGTGCAACCTGTGCGATGCAAACTACGGCAGGCAGGTGTCGTGCCGACTTCGGCGTCGGTTTCTGACACCGCGGGGATCGTCCAACCTTGAACGATCGGCAGTTTACCAAACGTCCGATCGTTCAACATCGACCGATTCTGGGTCGCCGGCGGCATTCAACCTGGAACGCCCGCGCTGGGGTCGCCGCTAGTCCACACGACGCGAACCTGCCGTACGTGGTGCAGGCCAGGCGGTGTAGGCCAGGCGGCGCAGTCCATGCGGTGTGAGCTGTGTGTAAAGCCGTGTGGGCGGCGACGAGGCGCCCACGAGCGCCCACCGGGCGCAAACCCCAACGGCGGGCCACCACCCACGGGGCGCCCACGAGGCAGCCACGAGCGCCCACCAGCAGAGCACCCAGCCTCAGCCACCACGCACGGGGCGCCCACGAGGCGCCCACGAGGTGCCGCCCGGGCGAACAACCACCAGGTCCAGTTACTCAGAGGACAGAGTACAAAACATACCCCGACCTGAGTGCAAGCGCTAACTGGGGGACAACGAGAGACGAGGAGCGGACGAAACTCAGCTCCACAAGACATGACAGGCTTTCCCAGATACCCCCATGAAGATTATATGAGGAGGGGGTCTGGGCGCCCAGCGCCCGACCCAAGGAAAGGATGGATGGGCTGCCTCGCCCGCGTCGGCGCCGGTCGCCGTCGTCGTCGGCGCCGCCGCTTGCGTCGCCGCCGTCGTGGCCGCCGTCGTCGCCGCGGGCACCGCCGGCGTCATTGCCGCCATCGTTCGCAACTGTCCTTCGGCGTCCTGCGCGGCGTCCCCGCCGCCGACCGTCGCCGTCGTTCGCCCGTCGTCGCCGCCGCCACCCGCCGTCTCTCGCAGTCGGCGCCTCTCCGCCAGCCGCGGGGGCAGCGCAGGCGATGCGGGCGGCGCCCTCCTGGGGCCGTCATTGCAGTCGTCGTCGTCGTCGTCGTCGTCGCCGTGGTCGTGGTCGTGGTCGTCGTGGTCGTCATCGTCGTCGTCGTCGCCGTGTCGTCGTCGTGCAATCGCTATCGTCGTCGTCGCGGCGCCGTCGTACTCGCCATCATCGTAGTTGTTGTGGACGTCGTGGTCCTCTTCGTTTTCGTGCCTTCGGGCGACCCCCTCGTCGCAACAGGTTGGCACGGCTTGGGTTCTGGCTGCGTCGAGGTTGGCCCCGCCATCTGGGCTTCGTGAAGGACAATAAGAATGCCAGCGTGGAGCCCAAATAGTGGGCTTGTGCACTCTCGATGCGCGCTCTTTGTGGTGCGAACTACATGCTACCATCTATCTGGTGCAATTTATGCGGTGCACACTATGTGGGGCAACAGGGGCGGTGCAAACTACATTGTGGTGCAAGGTATCCAGTGGAAGCTGTGGGTTGCAACTCGCCAGGCGACATCGCAGTCCTCAGCTCCAACGTTCGCACAAACATCCCGCCCTCCCGCCCGCAACCTGTTTCGCAAAACCCATTCGGCTACGAATGCGGTTGCCGATTGGAACTTGCTGGCGCATCTCTGCGGCCGCAATGGCGTGTACCGATGGGAACGTACTAGGGCGTCTCAAAAGCTGCGCTGGCGCGCGGGCACTTCAGTGCGGGTCGGTGACTCAGGCAGGCGCGATATCATGATGAGGTCGACAACGGCGACGACGTCGTCGATGACGGCGGTGGTGATGACCCCGACGATGGTGATAATGAAGATGATGATGATGATGAAGAAGAAGAAGATGATGATAATGATGATGTTGGCACTGACAATGATGTTGGTGATGATGATGATGATGATGATGCTGATGATGATGATGAATATGATGATGATGATGATGATGATGATGTTGATGATGCTGCTGATAATAACGATGATGGTGACGATAAGGATAACGATGCTCTTGACGATGATGTTGATGGTATTCGACACGCGCGCGAGCGGCCTGGATGGTTCGATCTGACCAGATGTCTTACAACAATTGTTTCCCCAGTGTTCTACAAAACCCATGCGGCCACGGTTGCGGTGACTGTTTGGCACTGGCTGGGGCGTCTCTGCAGCGGCGCTGGCGCGCGGGCCCTCGCGCGCCTAGCGACCAGCTGGTTTGGCGCGGCTGCTGCGGCCGCGATGGCGCAAGCCGATGGGGACTTCCCAGCGCGCGTGAAAGGCCGCTCTGGCGCGCGGGCGCTTCAGTGCGGGACGGCATCTCGGGCGGGCACGATATCGCGATGATGCCGACGGCGGCGGCAGCGATGATGAGAGTACCGACGGTGGTGTCGATCATGATGATGATGACGACGGCAATACCAATTGACGACGATGGTGATCATGACATTCATGTGCCTGTGATGAAGGTGATGGGATGGGCTATGTACTGATGGCGGCAGTGGGGGCGATTGACGATGACGATGACGGCGGTGATGCAGTAGCGCTCACGAGGGCGATGGCGAGGAAATGCGCGCGCTCAGAAACCCAGGAAAGTAGCCAGCGTTTGCGTGAAACCACTACTTTCCTTTCGTATGCTGTTGAAGAGCTCTACCTGACACCACCCCGAACGGTGACCAATGGCTTTGGCAAGACTTCGAAGCACGTGCGCGTGGCCGCGCGCGCGTGGCCTGCGCGGTATCACTTCGTATGGAATCGTGCACTGGACGCATGTCAGATCAACGCAGCCGCACCGCGCTGGTGATCCGAAAACGCGGATTCTTGACGAGTGTTTGCCACAATCACAGAAATGCTCCCAGTGGTTTTAGCAAGTGCGCGCTGGCAATATAATCGGCAGGGATTTTGATGACAAGCATGCGGTTTTTGTTTGGTATGATTTCGACCTGGGCGCGCGTGGGCGTTGCGTCATGCTGCTCCCATGGATTCTTGGCAACTGAGCTTCACTGGGACAAACGAGTGCGCGCCAATGGTATTACCAGACAGGGGTGGCAGGGAGGTACCAGTACTAGCTGAGTTGGGATGGGATGGGTCCAAATGCGACATGAACGAGGGGCCAGAACCAGATGAAACTTCCAGTGTTCCATGGGGACCATAGAAGTCTGGAGGCTCGGGAGTGGGATGGGTCCGAGTGTCACTGCTGCGTGAACAGAGAATTCAAAATGAAAGGCTTGGAACCGTCAACTCCGCTGCTCGGGCAAATATCCCGCCCTTCCAACCGCAACCTGTTTATGCTTGTTTGGCAACGCCCATGCAGCCGCGACAACGGTTGCTGATTGGCACTTGCCAGTGCGTCTCGCCAGCCGCGCTGGCGCGCGCACGCTCGCGCGCAAAGCGACCAGCTGGTTTGGCAACGCTGGTGCAGCCGCGATGGCGCATGCCGATGGGGACTTCCCAGCGCGTGTCAAAGGCCGTGCTAGCGCGCGGGGCGGGCACTTCAGTGCGGGTCGGCGACTCGTGCGGGCGCGATATCATGATGACGTCAACAACGGCGGCGAAGATGATGATAATAGCGACGGTGGTGGCGGTGGTGACGAGGGCAAGGCCAATGACAGCACCGACGCTCGTGGCGGCGATGACGATAATGATGTCCATGAGTTGGTGATGAAGGTGATTGTGCTGATAGTGGCGGCAATCACGGCGGTTGACGATGACGGTGACGGCTGTGATGCGAAGGCGCTGGTGAGAGTGATGAGAAAGAGCTCGGGGCAATTCGGCATCGTCAGACCGACAGTGGTTTTCGAAAGAAACGCCCATCTCTGATCCGAGTCGCAGCGTGTCCAACCCACCGGCCCCAGGTTCAAACTTCGGGGTGGTCGACGCGGGGGAGTGCGAGTCGTTTCGGACAAAAAACGCCCACATTTGCAAACCGCGGCCTGCTCCCTTAAGTGAACATTGAAATTGGGGGCGCGGGGAGCGCTCTTGCGCCATTATCTGGGCGTGTTTTTTTCTCGAAAACGCCAATATCCCTTCCCCAATGGGCCAAGATTCGTAGCCGGCAGGCCGAAGCGAATACGGAATACATCGGTGCGCGACCCAATATCAAATGCTGTCCAAATCCGGCAGCGGCCGCTGTTAAGCAGGCAACCTTTCGCCACAAATGGACACCGCCCGCGGCGACCTACCATAGCGCTCCCTGCTCGAAGTTGACAGGAACCGAAGACGAGAAGAGGGCAAACGAGTCCTCGATTCTTAGCGAAGCAGCGCGGCCAGGCCTGGGCTCCGCCTGATAAGTTGGGCAAGGCGGGCATCCCATGCTTTTAGGATCTGCCTTCCCACGAGGCCTCCCGAAAAGAATAGTATAGTGTGCGCACAGTATCCATGTGTACTGCAGCGGACGCCAACTGAGCCTTACTACAGAGCAGACATGGGAATAGAGCGGCTCGGACAGAGCTAGGTGCAGACATGAAGGCAGGGGGGAGGAGGGGGAACAGGCGGAGCAGAGCCAGACAGGCAGGACAGGAGAGATAGAGGACAAGGTGGTCTCCCCCCAACGCCATCTTACGAAACTTACAGTTTTTACGGGCCTGGGAATTACGCTACCGAGGAACCCCACATACTTGACTTAAATCTGGTGTGTTTGCTTAAGTTTATAATATATGCGCAATTCTGCGTTCTCAGCCCTCGTCGCGAATGTTCCCCTATGTGTCATCCAACGCCATATTGCTTGAACCTCCTCCCTCTTCCTAGCCTTCTACCCTCCGTCGAGGACAGATTCGAGCCAGCCAGCGGCCGCGGTGAAGGACCACCCCCTGCGCAGCCTCTATGGTGTCGAGAAAATGCCGCGCCTGCTATGCCCTGGACGACCGTCGTGCACAGCGGCCACGATGAGGGACCACCCCCTGCGCACCCCCTATGACGTCGAGAAAGTGCCACTCCTGCCACGCTCTGGACGACCGTCGTGCATAGCGGCCGCGCTGAGGGACCACCCTCTGCGCACCCCCTGTGGTGTCGAGAAAGTGCCACTCCTGCCACGATCTGCGAGCGTGTCATGGATAGAGGCCGCGCTGAGGGACCACCCTCTGCGCACCCCCTGTGGTGTCGAGAAAGTGCCACTCCTGCCACGATCTGCGAGCGTGTCACGGATAGAGGCCGCGCTGAGGGACCACCCTCTGCGCACCCCCTGTGGTGTCGAGAAAGTGCCACTCCTGCCACGATCTGCGAGCGTGTCACGGATAGAGGCCGCGCTGAGGGACCACCCTCTGCGCACCCCCTGTGGTGTCGAGAAAGTGCCACTCCTGCCACGATCTGCGAGCGTGTCACGGATAGAGGCCGCGCTGAGGGACCACCCTCTGCGCACCCCCTGTGGTGTCGAGAAAGTGCCACTCCTGCCACGATCTGCGAGCGTGTCACGGATAGAGGCCGCGCTGAGGGACCACCCTCTGCGCACCCCCTGTGGTGTCGAGAAAGTGCCACTCCTGCCACGATCTGCGAGCGTGTCACGGATAGAGGCCGCGCTGAGGGACCACCCTCTGCGCACCCCCTGTGGTGTCGAGAAGTGCCACTCCTGCCACGATCTGCGAGCGTGTCACGGATAGAGGCCGCGCTGAGGGACCACCCTCTGCGCACCCCCTGTGGTGTCGAGAAAGTGCCACTCCTGCCACGATCTGCGAGCGTGTCACGGATAGAGGCCGCGCTGAGGGACCACCCTCTGCGCACCCCCTGTGGCGTCGAGAAAGTGCCACTCCTGCCACGATCTGCGAGCGTGTCACGGATAGAGGCCGCGCTGAGGGACCACCCTCTGCGCACCCCCTGACCGCGCTGAGGGACCACCCTATGCGCACCCCCTGTGGTGTCGAGAAAGTGCCACTCCTGCCACGATCTGCCTGTGTTGTCTGTGCTGGGGAGTGCTGTGCTGTGCTGTGCTTTGCTGTGCTGTGCTGAGCTGAGCTGAACTGCGCTGAGCAGTGCTGTGCTGTGCTGAGCTGAGCTGTGCTGTGCTGTGCTGAGCTGAGCCGTGCTGAGCTGAGCTGAGCTGAGCTGAGCTGTGCTGTGTGTGTGTGTGTGTGTGTGGGGGGGGGGGGGGGGGAGGGGAGGTGTGTGTGAGGAGACGCGGGTGCGACGCGGCAGAGAAGAAAACCATAACCCCACAAAACATGTGGGGAAAAACGGGCAGACGTACACCCTGCGAAATGCTTAAGAAATCATGGGTTAAGAAATTCATAGTCTCAGAACTTGAATGAAAACCCAACGTTTCTATCAAAATCTTGGGATTTACATTGTCACATTAAGAATAATCGAGACTCTGGCCGAAAACTTAGGTTTTCTTAAGCATCGCCTAAGGTGTACACTAGGCATTACAGACAGTTCTAAGCACACACACAAAACTGCTCGCGGGGGGACCACTCTTGCCAAACGCGTGAAAGTCATACTCAATAGGATTATCTGATTCGGCGTCACATCATAATGAAAGTGAAGAGCACGCTGCATCAGAACCGACCGCGCATCATGTGCACATCGGCTGCGCATGAACGACTCAGTTTTTTGCCTGCAGCTTAGACACTCCGAACTCACGGACGAGGGGCAGGGCCTCAAGCATCTTAAGGTTCTCTCGCATATGGTAGAACATCGTTTGCTTAAACTAGGGGTTCCGATTCCACAATATGACACAGCAGTCGGAGCCGTCCATCTCATCAACCAATCTGCAAGCATCCTCGAAGGCCTTGGATTGGAGGACGGCTCTATACATAGGAGTATGAGTACGAGGACGAAGAAGAGGAGGAGGAGGAGGAGGAGGAGGAGAAGAAGGAGGAGGAGGGGGGGAGGAGGAGGAGGAGGACGAAGAGGAGGAGGACGAAGAGGAGGAGGAGAAGGAGGAGAAGGAGGAGGAGGAGGGGGGAAAGAGGAGGAGGAGGAGGAAGAAGAAGACGAGGGCCTCCAGAATGGAGGTCGCGAGCCTCCGCTGTGAAAAGCTCTTCTCGATCCTCTGCGCCGAAAAAACTACGACCGCAGGCGGCGGGAGCTCCTGGAGGCCTCTCTCCCGTGCTGCGGGGAGGCTCTCGGCGGCGCGGGGGCGCGGGAGGCCAGGGCCGGCGCCGCCCAGGCGCCTCCCCGGGCCACTTCACGTCGTGGGGGGGCCATCCTGAACCTCCACCACCTCCTCCTCCTCCTCCTCCTCCTCCTCCTGCTCCTACTCCTCCTCCTCCTTCTCCTCCTCCTCCACCTCCTTCCCCCCTCCAGCTTATGGTGGTGGTGGTGGTGGCAAACAGGCTCATTACCAAGGGCACCCTCATCCAGGGTGCACGAGAGCATCAAACAAGCACGAAGAGCACCAGGGGTACCCTGGGACGGTACCCTCACCGAACCGACCTCGATCATATACCTCGGTCCGACTGCAGATCGGCGGCAGGCTCTCGACAGCGGAGCTGCACGTTCCTGGGCGGAGCGGGGTGGCACCTAGGCGCCGCTGGGCGAGGGGCGGGCGCTGGTCGGGGGTCGAGGCTCGCCCTGCCCTGACCCCGTCCCCCCTCATACAGCAGGCTCGGGTCGCGACGACGCTGGCATTGGTCTTTGACACCGCGTAGGTCGTTCATCCTTGAGCGAGCGGCGGCTTTCCAAGTAGATGGGCCGATTCTGGGGCACTGGCGTTGTGGATGCCATGACAATGGACACCCTAACAATCCTATTATTGAATTACACATGTGCATAAAATGTAAGGAAAATGTTCTTAACATGTTTAACACATGGCTTTTACGTGTTTGGAGTAAGTTTAAAACATGTTTCAGACATCTGGAAAGGATTTGGCAACATGCATCCTCTCCATTGACCGTCGTCCACAACACTGGCGGCGTTTAACCTTGAACGCCCGCGGCTGGGTTGCCACCGCGTTGACACCACGCGAGCCTGCCGTGCCGTTGCCCTCGACCCGACCGGGCCAGCACCTCCCCCGGGAAACGTATCCCCCGGAACCCCAAGAACCCCCCCCCCAGGGACTCCAAGAGAGAGAGAGAGAGACCGCCCCCCCCGCCCCCCCAACCAACAACGTCCAAGACCTCTTCGGGCCCCGATCTTCCCTGCCTCCGCGACCCCACCAGCTCCGAGAGCAGGCGTTGGGCAAACGCCAACATGGATTACGGATCCGTCGATCTGGAGCGTGGGCGCTAGATCCACGGATCGGGAAAGTACCCGCCCGAAGCCAGGAGAGCCCAGAATCGAATCGACAAGTCGAATCGGCGATCGAAATGAATCGGATCGGCGGAAATCGGCAGCCGAGTCGGAAAACGTCGAATCGGCGGAAATCGGCAGGCTAGTAGGCCTCCAATGCGAAATCGGAACCCAAATCGGAATCCCAAATCGAATCGATTCGGAATCGGAATCCATCAAAATCGAATCGAATCGGAGGAATCGAAGCGAGCCCTGCGAAGCATGGCGCCATGTCGCCTGATGTGGCGACGGAGCGTGTCGCCTTCGTGCTGAAACGGGGCCCGTCGCTCGTCCGCGCGTCTGGATCCGTGTTTGCGCCTCCTCGAAGTGGATTGCGACCCCCCGCTGGTGACCCACCTGCGCACTGCCCGAGTGTGTGACGGCGGCGGCGGCGGCCGCACGCGTCGTCGTCGTCGTCGTCGCCGGAAGAGGAGGAGGAGGAGGAGGAGGAGGAGGAGGAGGAGGAGGAGGAGGAGGAGGAGGAGCAGGAGGAGGAGGAGCAGGAGCAGGAGCAGGAGCAGGAGCAGGAGCAGGAGCAGGAGCAGGAGGAGGAAGAGGCGGCAGCGGCGGCGGCGGCGGCGGCGGCGGCGTCGTCGTCGTCGTCGTCGTCGTCGTCGGCGTCGTCGTCGTCGTCGTCGTCGTCGTCGTCGTCGTCGTCGTCGTCGTCGTCGTCGTCAGTGTCGTCGTCGTCGGCGGCGTCGTCGTCGTCGCCGCCTCAACCCTCGTGGCTCTCTTGACCGCGTGCCTCGGCCACACGTCCTCCGCAACACGGCGCTCAGCGCCAGCGCTCGAGACCGCCCGAGGTCCCCATCCAGCCTCCAGCCGACTCGGCTTTGGGGCGGCACGATCAAATCAAAGAGCTCCCCAGCTGTGCATCCACGTCCTTCCTCCTCCGTCCCTTCCGCTCTCTCTCTCTCTCTCTCTCTCTCGGAGGAGGAGGAGGAGGAGGAGGAGGAGGAGGTGGAGGAGAAGGAGGAGAAAGAGGAGGAGGAGGAGCAGGAGGAGGAGGAGGGGGAGGCCGTAGCCTTGGCTCAAGCTGGCTCGAACCCCCCAGGCGCGGCGGTCGGGCGGTGCGAGCATGGTGGCTGCGGGAGCCTCGGCGGCGCTGGGCGAGTATCTGGCGCTGAGAGGCAAGGCAGGGGCGCGCGCTTCTGCTGACAGTTTGATTCAGAAGCTCACTGCAGAACTCATCGGAATTCGACTGCCCTCATCAACGCCCTCGGTGCCGACTCAGAGGTCTCTCGGCGAGAGGCCCTCGCGAGGCCCGTGCTGGCGGCGGAAGTGGCCGGCCTCACGGTGGAGGGGACGCACAAGCTCATCCGGACCGTGGCCTTGCACGCCAAGCAGTGCCCCAGCGCAGATGCGCCGCTCTCAGAGTGGCGCCAGGCGCAGAAAGGCCCCCACCTTGGAGGTGGCGGTCCTGAGCGCAGCGAGGGGCATTCTTTCATTCCCATGGTGTGCAAGCTGCTGGAGGGCCAGGGCGATTGCCCGCCACGCGCCCTCAGCCGTGGCTGCGTGTGGCTTTCGGCTGTACTAGAGTGTCTCCTTGTACATTCAAGGCCGGCAGGCAGACCCAGGAGCTCAGAGCGGATGCAGCGGAGTTCCGCCCTCCTCCTCAACGGCCAGCCTTCCCTGGAGGCCATGTGCTCCGTGCGGGGATAGCCGGGTTCATGCCTGTGGCGGGGCGGTGGCACCCGATCGACGTTCGTTCGTCATCTGAGGGCCTTCGATGTTCGTGCGGCGCGGTGGTATTCTCCTCCGTGCCAGTTGGAGCCGTACCCGCCGTGCATCACGCTGTCCAGGAACTCGGACGTATCCGTGAGATTGCACTGCGGTATTCTGTGCGATCAGACGGCCTGTCGAGGCAACCGTTTTCTCACAAGAGGGCTCGTCTCGAATACATCCGTGATATTTTTCACAACGCACTGTTGGGAACAGCCCGTCGAGGCAACCCTTTCTCCGCAAGCGAGCTCGTTTGGATTACATTTGCAATATTCCTTCACAGTGCACTGTTGATAGCGGCAGCCAGCTGAGCAGATCTTTCGCTCGGAAGCGCGATCAGCTGAATTCTTGTGTCCAAGGGCGTGGCAAGGCGATCGGCCTGTAAGGTATCGCTCCGCCCGCGGACGACGTGAACTGTCCAGAGCAGTGACGTTCTGACTTGACCTTTGCCAAATAGTTACATTGCGCTCTCACAACGTATGCTTTTTCACTGATGAGAGTTGAGAGGAGTTGCGCTCGTGTGCGGCGCTGTGGTTCGGGCACCCGTCCGCGGAGCTACGGCTCGTGTGCGGCGCTGTGCTCGGCCACCCGTCCGTGGAGCCCAACAGTGCAAGTTATATTGTTAATCATATGCGCAGCTGGCTCGTTCATGGAATGTAGCAGTGAAGGGAGAGCCACTGGAAAAGGAGGAGGAGGAGGACGAGGAGGAAAGGGAGATGAGGAGGAAGAGGATGAGCAGCAGGAGGAGGGAGGAGGGAGGAGGGAGAAGGAGGAGGAGCAGGAGGAGGAGGAGGAGGAGGAGGAGGAGGAGGAGGAGGAGAGGGAAAGGAGGAGGAAGGAGGAGGAGGAGGAGGAGGAGCAGGAGCAGGAGCAGGAGGAGGAGGAGGAGGAGGAGGACGAGAGGGCGAGGAGGAGGAGGAGGAGGAGGAGAGGAGTAGGAGGAGGAGGAGGAAGAGGAGAGGAGGAGGAGGAGGAGTAGAGGAGAGGAGGAGGAAGAGGAAGAGAAGAGGAGGAGGAGGAGGAGGAAGAGGAGGAGGAGCAGGAGGAGGAGGAGAAAGAGGAGGAGGAGGAAGAGGAGGAGGAGGAGCAGGAGGAGGAGGAGGAGGCGGAGGAGGAGGAGGAAGGAGGAGGACAGGAGGAGGAGGAGAGGGAGGAGGAGGAGGAGGAGGAGGAGGAGGAGGAGGAGGAGGAGGAGGAGGAGAGGGAAAGGAGGAGGAAGGAGGAGGACAGGAGGAGGGGGAAAGGGTGACGATCGCACGAGCACAGGCTCGCAGGGGGCGCCCAGGAGCGGGGATGGCGGCCAGGGGCCAGCACCCCATCCTGGACAGCCGCTCGAAAGGTGACAGGGAGCGGGGTCCCGAGGCAGGGAGGAAGAGGAGGAGGAGGAGGAGGAGGAGGAGGAGGAGGAGGAGGAGGAGGAGGAGAAGAAGAGCGAGGGAGGGAGGGAGGGAGGGAGGGAGGAGAGGGAGGGAGGGAGGGAGGAGAGGGAGGGAGGGATGGAGCAGGGAGGGAGGGAGGAGGGTCCGCACGTCCCCGCGAGAGGAGGATGAGGGCAGAACACTTCACGTCCCACCGTTCCTGTCACGAGCACGTGAGCTTACGCAGGGGTGGTCACGGGTCAAGAACCTCAACCCCCATCCCCGGCTTCCCCCTCCTCCTTCCCGGCCTCCTCCTGCTCCTCCTCATCTTCCTCCCCTTCCTCTGTTGAGCCAGACGGGAATGCACTTCAGATGTCGAGGCGTCGTAAGACTGGACAAAAGCCGAAAACCTGACTGACAGAGCTGCGCCCGAAAGGCGACGGCGAAACCAGTTGAGTCTGCGGGCGCCAGACTGTACAAAACAGTCAGGCACCGGTCAAAGCAAGCGGTGGGGCTGCACAAGGAGCACATGGAGGCACGAAAGCGAACGAGAAGAACGAGCGCGAGAGCAGGAAGGAGAGGGGCCCGTTCAGACTGTGTATAAGCGGGAGCGGGGATGCCGAGAAGAACATGCGGGCTCCGGCCTCCTCCTCCTCCTCCTCCTCCTCCTCCTCGCGCTCCTCCCCCTCCTCCCCCTCCCCCTCCCTCCTCCCCCCTCCCCTCCTCCCTCCCAAGCAAGCAGCAGCAGACGGCGAACCCATCAAGCCTGAGCCCGTCCGTCCTGCGACCACCTGCGGGCTGCACGCTCGTCCGCCCCCGCCCGT